GAAATATGCATACAGATTAAAATAAAGGGTTGGAACAAAATCTATTGAGTTTCAGGCAAATTAAAAAATCAGGATTGCTGTTATAATTTCAGACAAGGTAATAATAAAAGTATACCTGATTAGAAGAAGTAAACAGAAAAACTACATTTCGCTTACAGGCAAAATATACAATAAATTAATATCAATACATAAAAGAAAAATTAATTTAACCACATAAAGAAAAGATGGCATGACTGTAATAGTTGGGGATCTCAAAGCACTCCACTCAGATATTAAGAAATCTAACAAAAAAGTAAAAAAAGAAAAAAGTGAATAAATTGAACAGAATTTTAGGAATGTTAGAAACCTGCCTGGTGATTACTGAATAGGAATGAAAAAAGTATCCATACTACTTAGGTGTGTATGGCCCCTTCACATAAACTGACCAAACACTGGAGCATAAAACCCTCATAAACAAATACAGAAAAAAACCCAGAAATACAGAATACATCCTTTACCAACTATATTTCAACAAAATTGTATTCAATAAGGGACCTTTGAAGAAAGGATTAAAAATTCATTAGAGAATTAATCCTAAAGAATTTGTGGGCGAAAGAACAAATTATTGAGACAATACAGAATTTCATCAAAAATGATGACAATGAGACAATATACCAAAATTTTTAGGGATTCAACCAAGACTGTCCTGGATTAAAAAACAAAATCTCAAAGTACTTTCATGAACAAAAAGGAAATAACAGATCACTGAAGTGGATATGCAACAACAACCAAAAAAAAACCCTTTAGAAAATAAAGTAATAATTAAAAGACCCATTGTTATCATTCTGTTGTTTCAGTTATGTCTTACTCTTTGTGACCTGATTTGGGGTTTTCTTAGCAAAGGTATTTGAATGGTTTGCCATTTCTTCCTTCAGCTCATTTTATAGATGAGGAACTGAAGCAAACAGGATTAAATGATTTACCCAGGGTCACATTGCTGCTAAGTATCTGAGGCCAGATTTGAGCTCAGGAAGATGAGTCTTCCTGACTTCAGGCTCAGCACTCTACCCACTGCAACACCTAACTGCCCAAAAGACCCCAATTAAACACCAAAATGGAAACTTTGGAAATCAGCTACTGGGAAGCAGAAAATCTATTAATAAATAAAACTATAAATACCAGCTTTTCTGATTTTAAAGAGATAAACCAATTTGCCAGTATGTAAAAAGGGGCAAATCACAATAACTGAGGAAGAAATAAAGGAAATTGTTTTTAAAAATATTTCGTCCAATTATGCACCAACAAAATTGACAATTTAAATGAAATATATGAAGAGCTACAAAAATATGATACTTAACCAATAAGAGATAAATAATTTAACTTAACTAAATTTCAGAGGGGAAAATAGTGCAAGCCATAAATTAGCTTCCAAAGGAAAACAAAAACTCAGGACTACACAGATTTATGAGTGAATCATATCAAACATTCAAAGAAACATTAATTCCAATATTACATGGTGTTTACAAAAATAGGAAATAAAAGATGCTGTCAAGTTCTTTATATGATATAACTATCCTCTTGATATCTACTCCAGGAGGTGATAACTCATGGACAGACAAGTAGAAACCAATATCTCCATTTAATATTGACACATTAAAGCATATGCATGAACACACACATATTAGCAAAAGATCTATAGCAAAATATTTTTTTTTAAAAATGTACTCTATGTCTACAGGATATGTGTGTAATTAGTTCAATAATACTAAAACTATAAATATATTAGATCATACTCAAGACAAAAGCAATCAAAATAACATTATTAAATAAATAAAAAACACTTTTGATGAAATACAACACCCATTTCCATTTAAAAAATTCATAAATGGAACATTCTTTAATATGGTAAATAAAATGCTACCTATCTAAAATGAAAGGCTAATATTATATGTAATGAGAATGAATCAGGGACTTTTCAACAAGATCAGGTGTAAATCAAATATATTGATTATCACCCCTGGAATTTTATAAAATTCTAGAAATGATAGTTATATCAGTAAGATAAGGAAACATAAATTGGAGTTAAGCACTGACAAATAGAAAAAAAAAACCTATCTCTTTTTGAAAATGATATAATGTTCTGCATGGAGAGCCCCAGATAATCAACTACAAAACTAATTGAAATAATGATTCCAATTTCAGCAAAGTAACAATATATAACAAACTCACACAAATCATAAACTTTTCTATATATTACCAATAAAACCCAGTAGAAATAATAAGAGAAATTCCATTTAAAATATCTGCAGAATATATAAAATATTAAAGAGTTTACCTACTAATACGCAAGCAGGAAATAAAAATGAAACCACATTTTTTTACAGACATAAAGACAGACCCAAATAAGTTTAGAGATATTATTTGTTCGTGGTTGGGTGGTACCAATGCAATAAAAAAGGCAATGCTTTCTAATTTATTTGTTGAGTGCCATATGAATCGGACTACTGGAAGGTTAATTTAGAGAGCTGGAAAAGAATAATAAAAATTCAACTACAGGAACAAAAGGTCAAGATTCTCAAGGGAAATGATGAAAGAAATTTGATTAAAATATATTCTAGAATTCATGGGTCCATATAAGGTATATTGATGTGTGGATGAAGATTTGGAAGAAAGAATAGGGAAGAGATATTTTCCTATTTATTTGTTGTCCAATCAGTGTATATGAAGATTCTGCAGAGTATGCAGGAGGGTTGGTCAGGGCTTTTGGGGTGCTGGTCAGTTTCAGCAGGATGGGAAATATTAGGATTTCCTATTGCTTGGTCTCGGGTCTGCCTCAATGGGAGGGCAGGGCTCAAAGCTGCCATGGGGAACTCCTAGGTGAAGAAACTCCTCCCCAGATAATTGCCACCATCTTTGCACATCTTAGAAAGCTGTTCAGAGAACTAAGAAGATGTCTGGCACATTTGGTGTGACCTTGGGCAAATCATTTCAGCTCTGATTGTGGACGGAAATTCTAAGACCATAAATTACAGAGAAATCGATTGTCTGCTTTGGTAGAGGGACTTCTCTATTCTAATAAAAAAAAAATTCCAGGTGCAGACCAAATATACACAAAAAATACATTTTCAAATCTTTTCAGTCTTCTTTTATCTGGTGACTCCTCTACTCCTATCCTACATGAAAGGCTGCTCAGTTCTCCCCTATCTAAATAAACAAACAAACAAAAAAACCTTCACTGAATTGCCCTGTCTTCCCTCAAGTCATGATTTCCTATCTCTCCTCATTTTCAAAACCACACTCCTAGAAAGAATTGTTTGCATTAATTCGTTTTTCTTCACTATTTACTCTTCAATCTATTTCAATCTGCCTTCACACTTCACTCTAGAACTGAATTGTTCTCTCCATAATTATCAGTGATTTCTTAATTAAACATGATGACTTTTCTTGGTTCTCATCCTCCTTGATCTCTCTTCTGATTTTGACATTCCCAATTCTTCCTGGATACTTCTCTCTTGGCTCCTGCCAGATGGCTCTCACCTGGTGTGTGACTGTAGGCAAGCCACTTCACCACTATAGTTTCAATTTCCCCATCTTTAATGTCAGTGGGTTGGACTTGATGACTTCTATGACCTAACTCTAAATCTCCAATCCTATGATTTCATGTTTATTTTATGGAGGGTAGAAGGAATGTGCAACCTTAAAATTCTAGCAACAAACCCTAACAGGACCAACAGCTCTAAGCAAACCTGAAGGCTTCCCCATCAATTTGATTTCTTTTCTTTAAGTGTTTATCTTTAATTGATGCATGTTAGACAGAGTTTTCAAATTTCCCAGTCCCCTCACTAATCAGAGAAAACACTGAACACCAGTAGTTGTGGGAGGCAGCCCACAGACTTTAATCAATGAATCTTAGTTCCCATCTTACAGCATCTTCCATCAAGCCAACTGCAATAATCAATTTCTCTAGGTTAACAGATATCCTTTGGGAAAAAATCAAGGTTCAGAAAGTAGAATTGCACTTACCTTCTCTACGTTTAAGGATAAGCTTCCTTGAGGTTTTAGATTTTAAAATTAACACTCTTACACATTCTTTGTTTTCTGGTTTGTTTCTCTTCTCTTCTCTCTCTCTGTCTCTCTCTCTCTATCTCTGTCTCTGTCTCTCCTTTTTATTCTCAAGACTAGCAGGTTACTCAGGAGCAAGCTTTCCCCCCCTCATCTTCTGAGGAAGAAAGAGATTTTTCATTAAGATATTCAATACACATCTTACTCTGTAGGGAGTCACCTGTGTGGCCTCACCTTTTCCCTTGTTTCATCTCTTACTGAATTAATGAATCATTTGATTTGCGGAGACAACAGATTTTCTGGTGTGTTAATTATAGGAGCCAAAAGCAGATGTGGGAGTTTACTTTGTGGTTACAGGTAGGTGGCAGCTAGGTGGCTCAGTGCATAGAGCACTAGGCTTGGAATCAGGAAGATTTATCTTTGTGGGTTCAAATGTGATGTCAGATCCTTACTAGCTGTGTGACCCTGGGCAATTCACACAATTAATAAGTTGCCTATTCCATGCATTTGGTTCAAGGTGCACTTATAAATATCATAAGTCTACACCAAATGGCTTCTCATTGTCCCCACAACAAAATTGCCCTCCCCCCCCGGAATTCAACTCACCTTCTAGGGCCACCACTCAACTCATCTTATTCTAGGTATCTGTTGTTGTTCAGGAATGTCCAACTCTTTGTGACCCCATTTGGAGTTGTCTTGACAAAGATACTGGAGTGGTTTGCCATTTCCTTCTCCAGCTCATTTTTACAGATGAGGAAACTGAGGCAAACAGGGTTAAGTGGCTTGCCCAATTATACAGCTAGTGTCTGAGGCCAGATATGAACTCCAGTCTTCCTGACTCCAGGCCTGGCATTGTATCCACTACACCACTTAGCTGCCCTTGAAATACAAAGACAAAAATAAAATAGTCCCTGCCCTCAAGGAATTTACATTTTATGGAAGGGGGAGGGGTGAACAGATTTTATGTGTGTGTGTGTGTACATCTCTGAAGTATATCTATCTATAGCTTTCTATCTATACCTCTGAAGTTGACAGTATTCAGCTTATTATGCACATAGCACAGATGTGGGCACCAACAAATACTCTGAGGACTTTGAGTCATTATCCATGATCACATAACAAGTTCGGGTCTGTTTCCCAAGGACTCCCGACTCCAAGTACAGAGTTCTATGCCAAGCTACCTCTTCTACACTGAATAAATTATCTTACTAGGCTATAAAACCACAGTTCGTGGGGTAGAGGGTAGATAGAGCAGAGTTATTTCAGAGAGAATTCTTTTTAAAGGCAGGGTTCATTTCCAGTTTCATTATGGTAATGCTATTTATTTGTTTTATCTTTCTCCTACCCTTCCCTCTGGTCTCTTAGAACACACTGGAGAAAGAAATCATTGAATCCTAGATTCAGATTCATAAGGTGCCTCAAAGGTCATTTAGTCAAACCCTTTCATTTTACAGAAAAAGCTATGAGGCTTTCCTAAGGTTAGTAAGTCAGTCAGCAAAGGGTGTAAATGTCAGAGGGGGATCTGAACTCAGGTCCTCCGACTCTATAGTCAGTGTTTCCCACTTAAGGAATTCTGCCATTAATCATTTCATCTACGGTGCAAGCATAGTGAGTGCTCAAGAATCAAAGGTCATGAAAGTTATATGTGGCTTGTGAGATGGGGGTAAGGGCACCTTCCTCACTTCCTGTTGTCCCCAATACCTCTGCATTCATTATTCTCCTCAAGCATATTGTATGATTATGCCTTCTTCAGATCCTGGAGTTCTGAATCACCCCATTAGAAGCAAGAGAAGAATATGAGATTTTAAGAAAGGTTATGCATTTCCTGTCCCCATATCTCATCTGGCCAAACTGGTGCTCTTCTTTTCAGGTTTATGTTATCTAGCCTGTTACAAAGCTCTGCTTTTGCAGACAGTACAATAGCTTCGAGAGATTGACTTCTTTAGTTACCTTTTGGACAGTAATAAGTAGCACAGGGAGAAGAGCTTTTTAACAGAGAGACCACATCACAGACATTTTAACAAATGCTTCATTTCCAGGCAGGACCAAGGACAGCTGCCAGTCTAAACTGCAAAGCCAAGGGGACAAAGGGCATGAGTAAAGCCATGGTAGTGAAAAAGGGTCTGTCAGTCATTCTGATGGAAACATACATCTAACAACAGGCCCATGGGTGATAAAGGGTTACATCAAGGAAGGCATTGCCTTCTTTGGAGGGGATAATCGATCCTGCTCAGCTTCGAGGCTAATGTGACGACATCCTGGACGAGGAGACCCACTTTCTCTTGCCTTGAGATTTGTCCAAGATGCCTTCTTGTCTGGAAGCTGTTGAGCATAAAAAGAGACATTTAATGAGGACCAAAATTATTCTGGAGTCAGGCAATAAAATGAAACAGAATCTTGCTTCCTGTGCATCCAGGAACAGCCAAATGATTGAGACACACTAAGTCAAATAGAGGGTGTTGGAAGGTTGGCCTAGTGCTCCAATTCATCTCCTCTAGCAATCTGACTCAAGCAAATGAATATTTATTGAGCACCTACCATGTGCTGGGCACTATGCCAGATACTGGAGAGGCAAAGACAAAAGTGAACAGATCTAGACCCTCAAGAAGCTTGTATACTACTAGACACTATTTCCTAAAGGTCTGCTTCACACATGCTCAGATGATTGGCCATCCCATGGGCTATCATGGCAAGCCATTTAACAATATTATTTTATTCACTGGTAGGTTGGTGTGCCAGCTTTTCCTCTTCTCACTTGTGTGACTTTGGGCCAGTTCAGCATCAGTTTCCTCATCATCAGAATGAGGTTATTACACTTAGGCTCTTTGCAGTGCTCAGCTCCATGAATCCTCACTCTTTTCTTGTTTCCTAATCTCTGAAAAGGTAGTGGTATCAGTGTAACAGTGTAGCGGACCAAGAGCAAAAGAAGCTTAGTTGAAGGATTTAGAGCTAGTTAAAGGAAAGAGCACAGGAGAGCAGAACTAGGAATAACATATGTAAATTACTGAGGATATTGCAGCTCAGTGCAAGAAAGCTTCCTACCAATTAGAATTGTTCAGAAACAGAACAGACTCCCTTTAAAGTTCTCTTCCATTGAAGGCAGGATGATTACTTGCTCGGGATATTGGACAGGAAATGTATGTTTCAGAAATCAGTTGGGCTAGGTGACATCTACAAATCATTTCCAATTCTAACGTGCTAGTACTTCATAAATCCCTTTCTACAGGTGAAGAAACTGAGATGAAAATGGGTGTAGTGATTTTTCCAATCTCACCTAGATGGCAAATGATAAAATTAGGATTTGAATATAGGTATGCCTATTTTTCACCATATTATGCGATTACCCCAAGGCCTCCAGGGAATTTCCATTTGTAAAACTTCAGGGGAAAAAGAAGGGAGTGAAAATGTATCTTATCTTCTAGTGGGCAGAAAAAGGCATAGTGAGTAGACTAGAGGCTTTGGGTCATGAGAATGGTACATGTTAAATGGGCCTGTACAGTTTTAAATTGATAGTAACTGACTAAATGATCCCTTGGAAAGTTTGGGACAATAGGACCTCAAGGACATGGATACATATGTCCATCCAAAATCTCCAAAACAGGGCACATTCAATTCTGCCTTCATCTATGAATCTATGGATGCACTTGTTTCTGTGCAAGTTTTCTGTTATTTTCGTGCAAAATCCTCCAAGAAACAAACCCTCTAGGAAATATAAAAAGTTGTACAAAGTCCTGGTCTTAGAGTCATCAGACCTGATTTTAAATCCCTATACTGACCTCTTGCAAATCCCTTAACCTCCCGAGCCTTTAATTTCCCCAAAGCAACAAATAGTGTTTTAGCTGCTGCTACATGCAAAGCAATGTGCCACATTTGAGGCATGCAATGACCACAAAATGGGGAACAGTCCTTGCCCCCAGGAAGCTTATGTTTACAGGGAATGAAAAACATACACAGGTAAGTAGACATAAAGGAATTTCATGAAGGAAGCAACCTCTATTAAATGGGGGTAAGTAAAGGCCTCAGATGGGATCATATTAGCAAATTTTCATTAAAAAAAAAAACAAAGTTACTTTGTGTGAAGCACTGTGCTAGGCACTGGGGTTACAAATGTCAAAATGAAAGAGTCCCTGCTTTTTTTTTAACAAGAGAAATGTAACATGTATTCAAGTAATAAACACAAACTTGTTATACTTGGTGATGCTCTAGATTCACCTATGATATTAAAGGAGTTAGGAATTCCTGATCACGAACCTCCTGGTACCAGTGCCAGATCTGCTTTCTTGCAACTTATGGTCTTAAAGAATTGCCCAGGATCATACAGTCAGTGCCAGGGAGGAGACTTGAACCCACATCTTCCTGATTTCAAGACCATATCTCTGTTTACTATGCCATGCTCCCTCTCACAAAATATGTACAAAAGAATTCAAAGCAAGAGAAACTATGTTTTTGGTTTAGCAGAAGCATTTAGTCCTTAATTACTGATACAGAGGTAGTAAAGTACTGCATAAATGCTTGTTGACTGGCTGAAAAAGAAAAGATTCTGACCTTGGGGATCAGAAAAGAAGAGGATATAGGAGGTGATGACTTCAAAGGGTGAATCCTGAAGGAGGCTACAGATTCTAAGAAGAGGAGGTGAGGAAATTCCAGACATGGAAAGTCTTAGTGAGCCAAGAGTTAAAATGACATATATGGGGATTGACTAGTTGACCATTTCAACTGGAAGACAGAACATTTGGAAGGAAGTAATGTAACACAGTACAACTGGGAGAACTCAGCATGCTAGTTCTATGGTTTTGTATTTTATCTTAGAAGCAATATGGATAAAGGTTTTTTTCCCCCAGTATAAGAGTGATAAGGACACATTTTTATTTTGGGAATATCAATTTGGAAACAGGGCAAAGGATGGATTGAAGAGGAAGGAAGTTGGAAGCCAGAAGACTAATTATGAAAGTATTATAATAGTCTAGACTAGGAATGATGAGGAACCAAGCCTAGGAGGCTGGGTAGGTAAAGAGAAGGGAATGGATACAAGGGATCTCATGGTAGTAAGACTTCCAGGCTCAGATTCTTATAATCTAGCCACTGCTGGGATTCTTATAATCTAGCCACTGCTTACCCACGTTCAGACTCCTTAAGAGTCTACCCAATATGTCAATGTTCTAATAAACCTTGTCTTTGGCTGAAAGAAGGCTTGGGTAGAATTCTTTCAGGCAGGATCCGTGTGTTGTGATATTGGGGTCTCAGCACCCCTAAACCTTTAAACCGCATCATTTTTGGTGGACCATACGGAAAACTGCCTAACCCTAAATTCTTCTCCAGTCAAGACTGGAAGGTATGTAAGTCCCACCTCTCCTTCTTGCTCTGCAGTTAGGGTTGCTCTCCAAACACCAAGGCTTGGAGGTGCTTTTCAGGCAGACAGTCATGAGGCTGCCTCCCACTCGCCTGACCCTCTCGGGCTTTTTCTTGGTCCACTGGGTCAGTTCGAAGTCATGTACCTGGGTATACCTTCCACAGCACAGAGGACAAGGATGGATGCCCTATCCAAAAGCATATGCCCAATTCTGTCAGTTCTCTTGGCACTAGAAAATTGAAGAAAACTGCAGTTCATTTTTGGTTTCCTGAGGCTTACTTATTCCCTTCCCTATACACCCCTGAATCCTCTTTCATGGAGGTTACAGGGAAAAGTTAGGCCAGCTAAAAATGTCTTGGCAGATTCTGGAGGTTTTGTGATTGATTATTTTGCAGCTCCTGCTTACAACAATGGTCACTCCTTTCTCCCACTCCCTTCCCTTGAGTCAAGAGGGTGTCTGTTAACCCCTCTCATAAGAGAAGAGAGTTTCACCTTTTACTCACCTTTGATTTCACCCTCCCCCACCTGGGAAAGGAAGGAGGGGTGAGGGGCAGCAGCTACAGCGGGACTCCCTGGCAATGGGCTTGGGCCCTAGGGCAACCTTTGCCTGGAAGCATCACCCAGGTTCAGCATATCCTGCTCAAGGTAAAGAAGCTAGCCTTCAGACTTGGGTTAGCAAGCTCTTTTAAAGTTTAGTTTTAACTATTAATGATGAGATGTTGATTCTCTGTGTAAGTAATTTGGAAATGAATTGAACAATATAACAAAACTGGAGTCACCTGATTGATAATGGGTTTGTTTCAAGTTTCAAATTGGTGAACTTGTTGTATCAGTTATGTGAAGTAACTTTTCATAATTTGGTTACCGCTAAAATAATTTGGCTATTGTTGGTTGTTGTTTTAATGTTTAAACTTACCAAAAAGCCTGTTTGGGTTTTGTCTTGCTGAGAATTTGCATTTATATAGAAATCATGAACGATTGGCTTTTTACACCAGGACTAATTTAAATTTGAGATGTAAATCCTGGAAAAGTTTTTCCTAAGCTGTGATTAATGAAACTCGCTGTTTGAGGTAAAAGCTCCTAGGATTTTATTTTCAGTTGTCTGAAGGATCATAATCCATCGATAATCAATAATCCACCATCTGAGAGAAATGCCACAAGCTACTCAGAGAAGGTGATACTGATGGGAAGTCAGCAATGGGGAAAGCTGAGAGGACAATTTTAGCCTTAGTCTAAGATTGGATCTTCCTGGCTCAGTTTCCTCATTATGTTCCTGTGAAAAGGAATATTACTCATCTGGCTATTCCGGAGTCTGGCTATGAGGTGGATTTGATAATTGCGTGGTTGGAAAATTGAATTATTTGAATCCAAACAGAGCTAAGGATGTTTTATCCTCTAAAAGTTGGGCCCGAAATCTAGTCCCTGCTTTATATCTGGGCCCTGTAGTCTTTTCTGTCAGATTTGTGTATTCCAGACTACAGGCCATTTACCTACAGTTGGTAGCAAACATCAAGCACCAGCCAATGTCTATTGTTCTCTGGATGCAGCCTGTACTCGGTTCCAGGCAACCTCCTCTTTGGGACCCCCTCGAGGCAGGGACAGCTCTACGCCCCTTGCCAGCAGGAAGCAGTTTCAGAAGACGAGACCTTTGCCCCTTACCCCAAAAGAATTTGGGTCCCATTTGTTTGAGGGGGGAATGATGAAGATGGGATCTAGACTCCAAAAAGGAAAAAACCTAGACTTTCCCACATGGCTAAATCTCTGGCTTTCTCCAGAGTCTATAATTCCATACCTCCCTATGGCCCCAGGCCACTTCCCACCCTTAATCCTATCTACTCTCCATTCTCCCTTGGCCACCTCTAGAGTTCTATTACCTCATAGACTACTTCGCCACTCCTAGATCCCTCCCATAGTCTTTCTGTATATTAGGTCCATCTTGTCTCCATTAAAATGCTCAGATTCTTATAATCTA